TCAATGTTTTTGGCCATAGTCCTTGGGTTGTTAAATAGTTGTTCTAATATACTGTTAGCCAATATATATTTGGCTATAAATGCATAGTGAATTCACTATACTTGTTCACGATCTTTCAACAGATCATTTTAATATTTCTCCGCATCGTTAGTTGATAGTGCCCTGTGCAACCATTCCCTAACCATTTCTAGTTGTCCCTCGAGATGGAACAACTTTATTCGACGCTGCCCCATTTTAAAGAAACCAAAAAGCTGAACAGCAAATCGTCTTCTTTTAGGGCTGGTCGCTTTTAAAGCACTCTTGACCAACCATAATATGTTATATTACATTTTTATAGCTGCTTTAACGATATTGCCAAGTTGACAATGTTACGGACCACATAAGATTTCATTCTGGGAGCACTAAATAATGCAATTAAAATAGTCGATTAAAACACAAACTCAGAATTAGCTTTGAGTTATTAAAAATTAAAATTCCCAGGTATAGAAGCGGCCTTATAGTCTAATAATTTAGGATTTCTTGATTTTTGTTTCTTTCGGTTTTTAAGAAACCTGTTATGCTATGTATGCATTCATCATTTTGCTCTTGTTGGCTCTAARGTGAGGTCAAATAGAATAAAAGTTTAATATTTATGCATTCGACTTAAAAATGATTGGACTCATATCAATGAATTGCTTAAGAAAATTTGCCATTTTTTTTTTATTTGGAAGTACTTGTTGATTTTGGCGATTTTTAACATTTGAAACTTGAAATCGTCTTTATCTTGCAGATATTATAGTGAAATAACTTCTGAACAATTAGGCATTTAGTTTGTTTCCATATATACCATAGATTTGGTAAAGGAAGCCAAAAACTAAAATGTACAGGGATCCCGACAGGATGRCATACAATTCTTTGATATGAAACCTGTATGAATGCGTTTGGGCGTCATTGTAAGTTTAATCAAATGGCGYATCTTCAATAAGACGGACGATAGCGGAACTGGATTACAAATTCCAGTACATCGATCCTCTACGTATTGTAATTATTAACCATATATGGGATTATTATTATTATTTTCTTTCATGGAACCGTTCCCGTGACAACGAGGATAGTCTTCAAGGAACGAGTATTTACAAGCGAATGGGGATCTCTCTCTCTCTCTATATATATATCGACTTCTCCACTGGAACTATCTAAATCTACCCAGCCCGGTTATTGCTTGKGGATCTGCTTCAATCTCGGGAAGTTTCAGGGACTCGCATCTAAATTTGAAGTAGCCTCTTTTACTTAACTTGAACGGTGCACACGTGAGACCAAGTCTGCAGGGGCATTCTACGTCAAGTCCGGGCTGAAAATACAAAGCGGAACCATTAATTAAGAGCTCGACAAACCTGAACCGCAAGGTATCAAGGGACATATCTGTGGTTTGTTGATCGAAATTGACATTTTAAAATTTGACGTTAATATTCACTTCGACTTGAGGTGATAAATAAACAGTATTACTGACTTTGTATTTTGTTGTTGTTGTTGTAGTTGTGTTGTTGTTGTTGTGCTGTTGTTGTTGTTATTGTGCTGTTGTTGTTGTGCTGTTGTTTTTGTTTTTGTTGTGCTGTTGTTGTTGTGCTGTTGTTGTTGTTGATGTTGTTGCTGTCTTTTTTGTTGTCGCTGTTATTCTTAGTTGTAGTTGCTAGGGCCGGTTCACACTTTGACATAAGCAGAAGTAGAAGTGTATTTTGTATGTGTGAACCAGGGAAAACAGACGCAGATGAAAATGAGACAGAAGCCGAAATGAAAACTTTTTCATTTTCTTCTGCTTCTGTTTCTGCTTATGTTGCAAGATTCTGAGTGTGAACCGGGACATCATAAGCAGAAGAACATGCTTCTGTCAAGTGTGAACAAGCTTGTGCTTCGGTTTCTGCTTATGTCATAGTGTGAACCGGCCCGTTTTCTTGTTGTAGTTGTTGTAGTTGTTTRYGCTGGTGGTATTGGTGGTGATGGTGTTGTATCTTACCAGTAATGCCGGKCGACATCTCTGCTTCASCTTTGGTCTTTTTCGACATCTTCCTATCCCTTTTAATGTAAACTTTTTGATGCAGCATTCGTTACKTCCGCAGTCACTCGGTGACTTGCATTTTTTCAAGTGTGATCTCTGAGAAGCAAAATTGGACGGCATATTGTTGATATAACGGACTATTGATATGGAAATTTATCACAAATGGCCTAGTGATGGGTACAAAAGCGTGCTATTTTTCATTGGTCACGTACGATCTTGGGTGAGAGTAAATCTAGTAATAATGTGTTAAAACCGATAAAAACGATTGATGGAAGAATGAATACTTCGGTTTCGAATTCTCGTTTGTGCAGCTTAGCTTCAAATAAAAAATCAAATTTTTATTGTCATATTTGTACAGTGYTTGCATTACAATAGATTCTCTAATGTGTATAAGAATATATTACATATGCTTTCGAGGTTAAAACTGCACAAGTAAGATCTCGAAACTGGAGTCATGTCCTGGTTTCAAATAGGTGAAACAAAGYACTAGGTGATATAGGAATTGTG